CATTTACATATATCAGTCTTAAAGGCACAGTAACAAAACAGCCAGTTTAGTTCTGAAAGAGAGAGGTTGGAAAATGGTCATGTAACAATACATTATGACTTTTTTTGGTATGTAAACCCACTCAAATGTTATAAGGGGACCTGAAAAAAAATGAAATGAAAATTGTAGAATATAAGCCCTTCAAAGATGGCTAGACACAAGTTATTGTAATCACGAAGCATACTGTAGTAAGATTTGTAGCATGTTTTAAGCTTACTGCTAAATGTTGTTTTAGACTCTGTCAATTCATGATCTACAGCTGTCTGCATCTCAACAAAGAACATAATCAGAATATCCTCATGCTTCAGCTGATTTTCAGACACATGACGGCAGGTTCTTTATCTAAAAGTGTTTCCAAACTAGCAAACCTCCAAACTCTCCTTAAGCCGTACTTAGTCATGCATCAGTGTGACACAGTCATTAAGCCCCACACATGATTATAAGCCTCATTACCCTGTCAATCAGCAGCTGGGTGCCCACCCACAGACCTCCCCTCAGTGTGTGGGTTCAGTCCAGACACAATCAATCGAGCCTGAATTATTGCTGCTCATTGCTGAGACTCAATCACCACTCAGACCTAATTAATTGAGTGCGTTGAACCCAGATGCGGCCAAATCACGCCCATTTGTGGAACTTCAGGATAAGTAATATTAACGAGATGCTAAATTGAGCTTCTAATGACATTATAAATCAACAACAAATCAGCTTAAGGAACGAGGACACATTCTTCAGAGACAGCATGGGAGGAAAAAGATGGTGAAAAACGGATGTGCTGCCCAATAAGTCACAGAGGAGATGGTTACGTTCTTCATACATCAGTGTAAAATTTTGTCCAAGATCAATATATTTGAAGAGCAAATACTCCCTTTATTAACTTTAATTGCACACTGCAGTTATAAGACCCACATCAAGAAAACCCAAATTTTACTCGCTCTTTTAAAAATATGCTGATGTAGTATGTAAACATTGTTAAAGCTTCAAAATGTACCATTCACTCCACAGTCAATACAGGTGTGTGGGCAAAACTTTGAACACTCCTGCGTCAAAATGCATGTTTTGTTCAAATTCTAAGTAAAAATAACATCTACAGGGAACACACTTAAATATGACATTTTTCTGCAAATTTTTGTGCCCAGTTTCTATTTATTTGCTGAGTTTAACAGATTTGGGAAAAAAATATTTAAAAAAAAATATAGAAATAATAATTATGTATTAAAATGTTTAGAGGTTTGTTCCTTGTAGAGGATGTGTACCTATTTTCACTTTAAAAAGCCATGTAATGTGACCAAGGGTGCCCAAACTTCTGCATAAAACTCTAAATGGAAACTAAACTGCAAAAACAGCTCATTTGGATTAATCATTTTTGTTTTGTCACCAAAACCAGCGCATTTACATATATCCACCTATTCGGTCTACAACAGTTAGCTCCACCTGCTCACATTGAAGATATAAGGAGTGTTTCAGCTCACTGCTTTTTGAATGAGAACAGCCAACCACAGCAGAGGTCATTTACATATTTCAGTCTTAAAGGCACAGTAAGAAACAGCCTGTTTAATTCAAAGGGATAGAGAGAGTTGAAAAATGAATGACAGTTGAATAAGACTTAGGGCGTAAAAAGCCTTGGTTTTTAATGGGTTGAAAGGTTTTATAAAGAACCACACACAGCATTGTCTATCACACAGAACAACCATTTGACTATGCAAAGAATCATTTGAGCATGCTCATGGTTCTAGTCTAACCATTGCCTTTATGAGAGAAATGAAAAGAACATTTGAAGAACCCCTTTTTAAAGAATGTACCAAAGACCTATTCTTTGGCAAAAACAAATGCCAATATATTTTGCTTCAGTTAACTATGTTTTTTTTTCTTCCTTTTTCTTTTCGGTTTTCACCTCATTGCCCTGTGAATCATAAAGTGCTTATTTGCCTTATGTTCTCCAAGCTTTCTCCAGAGTGGCCCACTCCACTCACCTAACACATCTCGTTCTTCCTCTGATTCTCTGTCATTCTGTCCGGATCAGACCACAGATGGATGGGATGCGAAGTTAATGGCAGCACAGCTTTCAGCAGCCCTTATGATTGATGTGTTTAGGCCCAGGGAATGGCCTGAAATGTTATTTTTAAATGGATTTTTTTCCCTCAGAATAGCTTTTCAGAGAGCACCTCATTCCCATGCGGCTCATACATAGTATCAGCCTTTTTACCTGTTACAGGGCCAGACCGACTGCATGACCTTGAGATGGTATCCATAACGTCAGGAACAAGGCGATGCTCCAAGATTTTAAACCTTTTATCACCATCTTATTGAAGGATTAATAACAATGTAATCTATAGAGTGGCTGAATATTAATGAAAAAGACAGATCAGGCCCGTCTCACGAGCCATTATGTAAACATGTACCTTCTATTTATGTAAAGCCACGTGGGTTTCTATACGACTATTCATCACCGCTAAATACGCTCATATGACACAGCCGCGCTGTTTACTTACTCACTGAAATGCTTTTCATGTTCTTCCTCTTAATTAATTCAGATGAACCAGCAGACAGAGGCCTTTGGCAATGACAGTCATTGATTTCATTCTTCTTCTCAGTGCCTCTAGCCCACTACCTCTATCTCCAAACACAGTTCATGCTGGAAACTTTTTTTCCCCTTCATTATTAATGAGGTTGGCTAGCCTTGGGATATACTTTGTGTCTTGAATGGGAAGCTGCTGAGAAACTGCTTTCATTTCATAGCTAAGGTCAAAAAGTGGAATCTGAACGTTAGTAGTCAGTGTATAGATATTAGTTTATTATGCACAGTCAGTACAAATTGCTTGTTGCACTCTCTGTGCATGTGTGTTCCTCCATAAACCTTCTTGGAGTGGTGCATATTTACTGCTTTTTAGTAAATCTTCTCTGTTTTATAACTGGGCGTTAGTACTGGACCTTCTGAATAAGGGATTAGAAGTGTTTAATCAGAAGCAAAAACTAAAACCAAACACTACTTTTCACAGAACGTGTTGAAAAGTGACATAAAAGCACTTTTCTCTTTCCAGAGTGGAAAATGTAGCCAGTGCTAAGTCTGCAGCTAAAGCTGTGCCTACACTATAAGCCTGTTTACATCTGAATAAATTTTGGCCGGATTCCATTCACACTTTTCATTAAAATGTATCCCCAATTTGACAAGATGAGATCCAATTGTGCTTTTCCTGCATAAGAAGGACGTCAACACATATGCCAAATTCGTTTTACTCTTGTTTACTTTTTCCCCTGTTTTGATAGGGATGGACAAGCTCAGCTTAGATGTTTTCATCAGCCTGGAGTGCATGACAACTTTTGGTCTGGGAAACTCAGGCCTCCCGTATCCCCCATCTTTTGTTGTTTATTCTCTCAGCTGCTAGTCAGAGCTCCACAGAAGCATTTCTGTTTACATAATTGTATCCGGATAAAGAAAGTACATTCTGTGTCTGACCAACTCTGATTGCGGTTTGAGTGACCCAAGCGTAATCCGTTCACAATGCATCTTGGGATTGTTTACTCCTGATTTTTAATGTGGTCAAGTGAAATCAGTATGTGATCCAATCACCAAAAGCACGTTAATACAAGGTGTAAACAGGCCCTACGTGGTTTTTAATCCCGATTTGCTCTTTGTTCACAAACTGAAGCCATTTGCCAGGTCAAGCTCAATCACATTTTCCATGAATCAGATATGCATTAGGTCATGGAGCATATATGGAAGTGGCACATATCCAAGATGTTTTGCGTTCACACAGCTCTGAAAACATCAGATCTGTGTCACATTAGGGCATTTCAACCTGATAATGTGAACGTAGCTTTTAATGTAAAGTTGATCTTAATTCGTACAGCGGCCCCACGGTAAAAAAAAAGATTTCAAAATGTAAAAGTATTCAGAACCCTAGATATTTACAAAGAGTATGTTATGATCTATTTGAACCCAAAGCATTAACTGAGATAGTAATAAGCTGAATATATACAAAAATCATCATTTACAGAGTACTTTCTATTGGGAACTGTCCATCCCAAACCCTAACTCCTAAATATCAACTTGTGAAAATAATACTTTCTTGTTGTTGTTTTGGTATTTGACCTATTTGAAAGTAAAGTTGAACAATTTTAATTTATAGTGAGTTTAATGTTTAAATAACAACACTTGATTCAAAAACTGCTATCCCACATTTTCATGTCACTACTGAAATACAAAGAATTTTAATTCACTGGTGGAGTTTTTTTTTAACCATACCCCTGCATTTTAGAGCAGGAAGTGAGACTGCAAAGTCCCAAAGTCTGAAAATCAGTGAGAAACCTTAAGAACTGTCACTACTAAAATGATTAATTAAGTAAAGTTTTTGTTTAAATAAAACAAAAATAAAGTCTTGTGTACTAGTGAACAAAGCTGTGTTTGCTAGTTAAGTACTGGCTAGCATTTTTGAGTTGTGCTTAAAATAAGCCGAAATCGGCACTATTAAAACAGTTTAGTAAAGTTTAGTAAAGTTTCAACAAAGTTTTGATTGTTTTGGTAGCGTCAAAATGGAATGTTGAATTATTTATTTTAATAAAATATACATAATTAATGTATAGGGTCATTTAAAGCAAAAAGAGTTTAGCTTAAAGTTTAAATAGGGTTAAAAGTCCAAAATGTGTTTTTACTTTATTTCATTTTGACTGATTACCAAATGGAAAACAGGCACACAAATCTGCAACAGAAACAAAAAATACAGATGCTGTTTAAAACAAACCAAAATGAAGAATATTTCTAGTCTGTGGTTGTATGAAAATGAACCTGGCCAAATTAACAGTAAAGCTGAAGTTTTCACACAGGTTTATTCCCCGTTGGTCATAACATGCTGTGAATATTACTGTTTGCTTTTTCAGTTTTGGTTTTTGTTCCCTGTACTGTCAGTATAGTGTGGGCGGTGAGTGCATGTTTAGCTGACGGTGCTGTGTGTCTCCTGCCTCAGCAGACTCCCTGTTCAGCGAGCTGGGTTTGGGGGCAGTGGTGGGCCTGGGCCTGGCTGGCCTGCTGCTGCTGCTGGTGCTGGTGGACGTCAGCTGCTTCTTCTTGCGCCAGTGCGGCCTGCTGATGTGCATCACCCGCAAGCTCTGCAGCAAGAAGACCGCCACCAGTGGCAAGAGCAAAGAGCTGGAGGAGGGCAAGGCTGCATACCTGTAAGTGTCCCTGGGGGGTTGCAGGGTGGGCATGGCTGATTGCACTTCTTTCTTTCGTTTCTGCTTTTCCAACCTGTCTTTACTCACCAGCCGAAGCACAGTTCTTTTTTCTTCAGTTATTTATACGCTCTCAAAAATGATGTGTTAATTTGCAACACACTTTATATGCAGTTGTGTGCAAAAGTTTGCACGCCCCTGGTCAATTGACCCGTTTTGTTGATTTTTTCAGTAAAAATAAGTTACACAACCTCTACAGAGAACACACTTCTGATCATTTTAAAACACAGTCACAGTTTATTTGCTGAATTTAACATATTGAGAAAAAAATCTAACATAATGTGGCCTGTGCAAAATTTATTGTATGTTTTTACTGTATGTTTAATTGTTCTTCAAATCTTTATCTCTAGAAAAAAATGCCATATTTAAGTTCCCTGTGGAGGATGGGGAGAATAGCTATTTTCACTTAGAAACAAACATGTAATTTGACAGCTTCTGTTATATTAAATTAAAATACATGTTAAAGGGAAATTCAAAATTTCATTTTAATTCAGTGGTTGAGATTTAAAAAAAAAAGGCATACAGACAGTGGTTTAATGTGAAATGGTACATTGTTAATAAACTGACCGATTCCTTTACAATGTTGTGATAGGAACCAGGGGTTACGATGTCTACAACACAAACATAGACGATAGACATATTAAACAGTTCGGACATCTGGTTCCTATCACCACCGCTGTAAACAATTCTGACTTGTCAAAAGTTTCTCCAGAATGACGTATTTCCCATCAAACCACAACACCATACAACACCTTAAGGGTACCTCCCTGTTATGAGTACGATTTTAAAATATGTTTTTGGCCAAAACTATTGTAAAACAATATCTAAGGCATCAAGCAGAGTATTTGTAACTGTCTCTTCTAATAACTTTAATTCCTCTAAAAGCCCCCTTTTTAAACACTTCGAACAACTAGTTCCTGTCACCACCACTACAAACAATTTTGAATCAGTAAGTTTCTCTAGAACAGAACATTTCATATTAAACCACTCTGAATGACTTTGCTTATGTCCTAATGATTGAAATATGCAGAATTTAAAAAAAACATGGTGTAATTCCCCTTTAAATAAAACACTGTTGTTAATGCTGTTGTTAAATGGACAGATGTTTTAACAGGTGAACATGAAATGAAATATCCAGGATAAAAAAATGCATAGTGTCCTTAATTGGACGCATGTCCTTTACAGGACACTACGTGTTGTTTTTAACCCATCTACTTTTGAGAGTGTGTATTTGATTCATTATTTAAGTGTTCGCTCTTTTGCTTGCACACTTTTTTCTTTCATAAAACTCAATATTTTCTCCATCATTCTCTTCCATTTACAGTACTTCATTCTCATTTTCATGCTCTGCTCCATTGTTTGGATAAAAAAAAAGTAAGTAATGCATTTATTACATACAGCTAGCAGCAGTGTATAATAGCAGGGTCTTTCTTATCTTATCTGAGTCACACTTTGTTCCGCGATGTGGCGTGGGCTGTGTTTGTATGGGGAAGACCCATGGGGACTTGGGCTCGCGCTATAGCGAGCATGTGACCTTTTCTGGAGGTGCTTTATCTGACTTCTTCATGTCTAGCACTGAAGAAGCGTCTGTTTTCCAGTCATGTAATATGGCTGTGCGACGTGTCCCCTGGCTGAGAGGAATCAAATCTTGTCACGTTTGCTTGGCTTCAAGTTCAGAGGGATTAGAGGGAAAGATTGCCTTCAGCTCCAATAACAAGCAGCATGGCTTTAAAAGACTCTTTTGATACTCTCCCGCGCAGGCCTCAGGATGGCCTACATCAGATAGGCCTCTTCTGCCTCCCCACCGTCCTAAAGCCTGGCTCCTAATAACCTTATTAGAGTGATGATGCTCCATGTGAACTGATTTTGGCTTCCGTTCCCACAGCATGCTGGGTGATGAAGAGACAGATAACACACAGACGTCCTAAAACCCGTTACAGCTCACACCGTGTCCTCCGCAGGACCTTGAGGCCACACACTCACTCAAAACACCTCCACACAACCTACATGCAAATAAAGACACCGCGTGACATGAGGTCACCTGTTGCAACAAAATTACACAGCGGCCGACACCTGTTGTTGACTCCTTAAACAGCTGTGTTGATCAGTTATCAATCCTAGGATTTAGTACTGAGTGACTCATATAAAGTTTTCATATAATTACTGTGAAACTAATGCTATGAAACTAACATAATGGTGCTTTGTATGTCATAAATGGTAACTTCATAGGAAAAGGGATAGGTTTTAGGTTGAGATTAAGGTTAGGCTTAGGATAAGGGTTAGGTTTTGCTTAATAAAATTACCATATAAAGCCTACTTCATGTAATGTATCAACAATACATCTACTTAATGTAAGTAATGTATCAGCAGTACATCTTCATATTTACCTCAGTGTATTCAGATGCTGCACTACTGCTACTTCACTGATGCGTTACTGAAACTCTGTTAAGAGTTTATTAATCAAAGCACCACTCAAAATAGTGTTACCAAAAAAATAAACTTACAAGGTTTTGATATGACAGCAACAATACATAAGGGATGTAGTAATGAGTGTGCATGCACACATGTGTCTCTTAGCATGAGATCCTGATTTGATTGGGGTAGTTAAAGGGGAATTCCACCAATTTCTCAAAACTTCTGCACAATTCAATCACTAAGCGTGTTTTGATGTAAAATGGTGCATTGTAGAGAAACTTACAGACTCTGATTTCTTTACAGTGGTGGAGATAGGAACCAGGGGTTGCAGTGTCTACAACATAAATACAGCTGAAATGACCAGTAAACCTACACGTCTTTTGAATTTTATGTTAAATGTTGATAAAAGAAATCAGTGGTAAATATAATACATTTTTCCAGGGGACTATTTTGACTTACAACAGCGTGTATGACATTTTGGACCAAAATCTTATCTCAAAACCATCATAAAACAGCGTATTCATGACCATTTCATACAACTTTCTGTGAGGGAAACTCTTCTGACGTCTGGTTCCTATCACCACCACTGTGAACACCTCTGACTCGGTAAGTTTCACTAGGACGGCGCATTTCACATCAAACTATCCTGAATAACTTTGTTTGCTATTGGAACAAAAATGTGGGGGCCATTGGGCAGAAGGCAGGATACTCCCTGGACAGGTCGCCAGTCCATAAATTATAAAACAATAGCAAGAATCTTTGGGGACTGCAAGACACTTAAATTGTTTTTGGCCAAAATAATCACTGCTGCTTATAAATATTTGCCAAGACAAATAATAGAACCCAAGTTTAACCCACCGTTATATTGCAATCTGTGTTTAGGTCCTACCACACACTGCTGAGTCACTAATTTGCTCTTCTGTGTTGTGCTATTGTTGTGCCATTGAGTGCCTGACCTCTACCAATAAAGTGTGAGACAGCTTCACAGCGTTTGTTCTCAAGTTTCGTTGTAGAGGAGGTCTATAAAATACAATTTAAAGGGTAAATCAAATGACATATTTGGTATAAGTGTGATTGTTTTAGCTGGAACTGACCCGTGCGTGTGGTGTGTATCTGCTGTGTGCTTTTGTCCACTCTCCACAGGAAACTGCCACTGAAAGAGGAGAATGGCAAAGAGTCGCTCAAACCGGACACGATTGAGATCAAAGTTCACGGTGACAACAGCCTACACACGACGCAGGAGGACAGCAAAGCATAATGAAGGCGCTGCCGTGCACTGAAGGGAACACGCGCTGCGAGCTACCCCGACCAAAACCAAGCAAGCTAATGAGAATACAAACACGAACACGGCCAATGCAGAAGTCCCTTGTTAGAGAACAATTGCCAGGGGTATCTGAAGAGAAACTGTGTACATAAGGAGAAAAAAAAGGAAAGGCCACACAGCGGTTGTTTTGTGATCTTTCGGAGGATGCCTCTCCACAGAAAGGCTCTCGTTTATCTGTGATTGTTCTTTCTCTCTTTCTTTTAAAGGCTTAGCTGTTGCTTTGTGTCCAAATCTCTGTTACTTGAAGCAGTTTAAGTCTGTGCCCTCTGCTCCGTTCATTTTCTCTTTCTCTCTAATTCTCTCTCTCTTTGTCCCTCATTTGTCTCTTTCACACCTGTCTCTCTCCTCTTCTCTTTTTTCTCTCATGACTCTCTGCTCTCTCTCTCTGCTTCTCTCTTACCTTCCCTCCCTCTGTATCTTTCTTTTATCTTTCTTGCTCTCTCTCTGTCTCTCATTTGTCCCTCTTTGTCTCTCTCTCTGTAGTCTGTCTCCCACACTTGTTCCTCTGCAATGCTCTTTCCATTCTCTCTCTCCCTCTCTCCTCTTTTCTTCCACTCTCATCTCTCTATCTCTCCTTATCCTCTCACTCATCTTTCATCTTTCTCTTTCTTTTCATCCCTCTACTCTTTCTATTTCTTCTCTCTTACTTTCTCTTCCTCTCTCTTTTTCATCTCTCTCTCTCTCTCTCTCTCTCTCTCTCTCTATCTCTTGTCTGTCTCTTTCCTCTGCAGTGCTCACTCCATTCTCTCCCTCTCTTCTATTTCTCTCTCTCTTCATCTTTTTCCCTTTTATCTTTCTTTCTTTCTCTCTTTATATATCTCGTCTCTCACACTTTTTCCTCTGCAATGCTCTCTCCATTCTCTCTCCCTCTCTTCTCTCTCTCTCCTCTTCCACTCTCATCTCTCTATCTATTTTTCTCTCTCTCTCACTCATTGCTTTCATCTTTCTCTCATTTTCATATCTCTTTTCTTTCTCTTTTTTCTTTTCTTTTGTTTTCTTTTCTTTTGTTTTCTTTCTCTTCTCTCCCCTCCCTCAGCTTTTACCTACAACCACTCAAGTTCTCCACAGAGCTGCTTTCATACATGCACACATTTCCCGATTTCCCCACACAAGTTTCTGCTGTATATTCTTTGTGTTTGTCTCGGGGCACAAAGGGAGAGAGTGCATTGTGTCACAGTCTGATCTCTGTGTGGGCCCCCATTACCCCTCTCTCAACGTACGTGTGTGTGTGTCGTGGTATTGGGTAACCGTAGTGTGTTTCTGTTCTTGCCTTTTTTTCCACTGTTCAGCATCCACCTCTGACAGTGAAGTTATTACAGTGTGCCAGCAGTGAGATGAAGGGCTTTACCATCAGAGGGACGCTACAAATGGTCCACTCGAGAATGCTCTTACAGCATGTCCAGGCTTTGTCCCCACACACCAACATCCATGCTTTTGCACTGAACTGAACACGGACATTACTTCGTCCCTTTCCTACTAGTCACAAGTGAAAAAAAAAGAGAGAGAATCTGAAAAGAAAAACAAAATTGCCACAGACAGCTGCACAACCTGTGATTTGGATCCCCAGTATGAAAATGGAAATGGCATATTTCTGGATTGTTGAGGTAACACTGGAAATAATCCCTTTTTGTTATTGTTTATTGCCCTGATTTTGTGAATGTGTATGAGTGAGTGAGTCCGTATGAGTGAGCATGTACGGTCTGGGTACAGTATGTGCAAACACACATGTAAAATACAAAGAAAGGATAAAAAAGGTGAATTGTAAACACTATGGGTTTGAAAATAGATTGTAGTGAAAATATGAAGGTTGAAGAAGAAATGTGATCTGCTCAAGCATATCAGTGTAAATATGCATATTTCTTTTGCAAGAAGAAGTTGGAGGGAGAAAAAAAAGCACCATTCATGACTTTGGTTGTGTTTGTGTAAAGCAGACGTTGAATATTTGCAGATCTGCATCACATCTGCATTGCTTGAATGCACCCCCCCTGTTAATATTGCCCATGGCTTGACTGTGATAGTTTGACAGCAATAGAGGCATTGTTTCCTATAGCCCCAGGCCCTGTTTTTCATTGCTGGCTATGTTAGTTAGCTGCATAAATTTCAAATAAGCTTTACTTGGTTCTGGTTCATGGCTCATGAAGGGTGGTCAGTCTACAGAAAAATTAAAAAGACAAAGGGTAAAAATACATGCATCTTTATAGAACAACAACAGCATGTAGAACCATGTTCATCACATGGCATTCAGAACAGGTAGCCAGGAAATTAGCTGGTTGAAGACTAACAGGGCCTATAATAAAAAACAGTTTTCATCACTGAGAACACTGACCAATACAAAAACAGACCAACAAGCCTGCATTAAAATAGAATTCCACCTATTTTTCAAAATGTCTGCATGATTAAATCATTAAAATATAAACAAAAGTCATTTAACGTGTTTTTTGTGTGAAACAAGTCATTTTAGAGAAAGAGTCAGAATTGTTCACAGTGGTGATGAGAACCAGATGTCTAGAGCATTTATTGCATCTAAAAGCTATTATGTGAAATTGTTACACATGTTGCCTAATGTCTGTGACATTGTTTCAAAATATTGAGAGAAGATTTTGGCCTAAAATGTAAATTATATGGCCAGAAATATGTGGACACCCGTCCTAATTATTGAGTTCTGGTGTTTCAGCCACGCCCATTGCTAACAGGTCTATAAAATCAAGGACATAGCCATGTAATCTTCAGACAAACATTGGCAGTAGAATGGGTCATACTGAAGAGCTCAGTGACTAAACATGATGCTATCATTGGATTTCACTTTTCCCACACTACAGCTTGTGAGTTTTCTGGTCTGCTAGATCTGGTGTGGTCAGCTGCAAGTGCTATTATTGTAAAATGGAAGCATCTAGGAGCAACAATAACTCCTAGACCACCTCACAGAGTGGGGCTGCTGAATGCAAAAGTGTGTAGAACGTAAAAATCACCTACAGAGTTCCACACTGCCCCTGAAAGCACCATCAGCACAAGAACTGTGCATTGGGAGCTTCATGAAAGGAGTTTCCATGGCCAAGGGCTGTACACACGCCACTAAGATCACTATGCGCAATGCTAAGCGTCAGCTATGATGTTAAGCACGCCATCACTGGACACTGGCAGTGGAAACGTGTTCTCTGGAGTAATGAGTCATCAGGCTGGCATCTGCCAAACCAAAATTTGTCCATCAGCCCGGCAGACAGTGAAGCATGATTCAGCACTACCTACCGGAATGCATAGTTACTACAGTAAAGTTTGGTGGAGGAGAGATAATGGTCTAGGGCTGTTTTTCAGGGTTTGGACTCTTTTGGCCCCTGTAGTTCCAGTGAAGGGTAATGTTAATGCTACAGCATACAAAGACATTTTAGACAATTATATTTTTCCAAATTGTAGCAACAGTTTGAGGAAGGCCCATGTGCATAAAGCAAGGTCCCTAAAGACATGATTTGATGAGTTTGATGTTATAGAACCTCAGTGGCCAACACAGAGCCCTGACCTCAACACCACTGAACACCTTTGAGATGAATAGGAACGTCAAATGAGAGCCAAGACTTCTCATCCAACACCAGCGCCTGACCTCACAAATGCTCTTTTGACCTTTTGACTGAATGGGCACAAATTCTCACAGACACACTCCAAAATCGTGTGGAAAGCCTTCCCATGAGAGTGGAGGCTCTTATGGCAGCAAAGGTGGGCCAACTGTATATTAATGCCCATGGTTTTGGATTGGGATGTCCAACATGCTCAAGTAGGAGTGCTGGGTGTGAAGTGTCCACATGCCTTTAGCCATATACTGTACATCTTTAAATCCACTTATGGTGAAGAGATACGTGCAAGGCAAAGTAATCCCCCAATAAAATGTACATTTTCAGACTTAACACTGTTTTATAATTATCAAAGTCACACATAAAACCTCAGAGGTGTAGGTTTACTGGTTGTTTTGGATAGTAAATAAAATATTTGTGTTGTAGATATTGGTTAGACACTGGTTCCAATCATCACTGCCATAAAGAAATCCGAGTTGGTAAGTTTCTCTGTAACATACCATTTCACATCAAATCACTATGAATGACTTTCTGTACATGTTAATAATTGAATTATCCAGACATCTGAAAAATTGTTGAAATTTCGCAGGCTGCATGTCTGCAATGTCAGAATAGTTACTAATTAGAATGCCCCAGTTGTTTTCTGAGACTGGAGAGGAGAAAACCTAAGCCTATTTATGAATAATATTGTTTTTTTATAACATCTCCAAACTTAAAACATATGTCAACTGGGCATGATTTTACCAGTCACAGTTCTAGTTAGGAGTTTTGCAGTCACCTCTTTGGTCTGTTCTCAGTCAATCGATGTCACTTTGCTTTACATCTGCAGTGCATTTTAAGTATAACAGACTCTTCAATTGTCAACCCAGCAGAAGGTTCTGAAATGTTGTCCATTTACTTAGCTTGTCTGCTACTCTGAGGGGGGGAAATCCCTAAAAACCCCACTGTACTCGTGGAACTCTTGTAATCCAGTGTAATTTTCAGCTGTAAATAAAAGTGTCCTGATATATTAAAAAAAAATATCTGTGATTGCTGCCATGTTATATAAAACTCTTTTATGAGCCAAATCAGTTTTCAACACAGCTGCCTCCTTCCACTGTGGTGGTAAAGTACACCTCCAAGGTTGAGTCTATAAACTAAAGCCATTTCATAGTCTCAGGTTGTAACTTTTACAGAGAAACTGGTCAGCTTATGTAAATACAGCTGAAGCATCTGTGAGTAAAGAACTAAATTGACCTAAGATGGTTATTCTGTTTTGACTACAGCCTGTGCCCTTCTTCCTACTAGAATAGGTTTGCTTCACCTCTAACTTACTCTCAGGTAAACACTAAGAGTTAAATAACTAATTGAAATGGAATCTGAGTGTTTTGGTTATGCTCGTTTTTTGCTCTGACTTGCGTCAGTCAGCTCATGAAAAGCTTGGTAATCAAGTGATGCATTGAAACTGCACCCACTGGGCCACTCTTACAGATACTGACACAACTGCACACCCATGACCCACAGAAAGATCACATTTCTTAACAACATACCTCACCAATGAGC